AGAACACACGTAGTAGTACTAGTGGTATGAACGATACAAGGTGCGACCTGGAGAGAAAGACATGTCTAGTTGGAAGGTCTCGGGGTATACACGTAAACAAATATAAAAGCTAATATGTGCCTCCAATGAATATAGTAGTAGCAGAGTACTTAGGCACGTACTCCATAACATCACCGTGCATTGCACGTACAACATTTAGTGGTACATAATAAGAGACAAATTCCTACATGCCACGCATGTTCATACTATTTATGCCTTTCTACTTCACTTACTATGCTACATTACTCAGGTTCGTACGTCCACTCCTGGGTACATGTCCGTCTCGTAGTTCCAGTCCCACGTGTTCTTCATATAGATGGAACGATCCTTGCATGACACATGCACCTTGATGCTAGATGTCTCGCGTGTTGGCAAAAGGATGAACAACTCACGTAAAAAATAGTGGAAGAACATAGATTCCCGACGACCGAGAAGGAGCAAGGAACCTCGTGGTGGAGCGTTCGCAGTCATAATATTTTATATTATTCAGCGATATAAAATCAACCAATCATCTTTACAGTGGACTAGAAGAGTACAAAACACGGTAGCCCAGTGTAGTTATATCATACTAGTATATGGCTAACCCATGCTATCACCATATTTCTTGGCTTCCATGCGACACCTAGCTCTAGTAATCCAGCAGCCTGTAGCGCTTCTCGCTCCTCGTCTCTCTCAAAGTGCAGAGGGCTGGAGTTTTTGCCGTCTATTGATGTCGGTTAACTCATCACATGTTAGCGACATGCCAAGAGCATTCTAAAAAAATAGTACTATGCTCTATTGTTATTCCAAGAAGAGGAAGCGCTTTGACCGACGGACCAAGAGAGACAGGCGTGCGTTGCCATGAGTGGGTCCAGTTTCTCGTTTTGAACTTGTTTAGAACACTTGGTTTTGACTATTGATAAGATTTTATATAGGGCCTAATGTATTCTTTGAGGATGCCTTTGACTATTGATAAGATTTTATATAATTTGAAAATTATATCATTTGAAGATCCTTTCACGTTCCGTTTTCCAAAAAAAAAGATCCTTTCACGTACAAATTTGACTGTATGCTTTGAGCAACTTGCATGTCCTATACTGCTCCTGTTTGGATACTCTGACTTAGCTAGAGGTTAGACTAACTCATGACTAACCCTGAACTAACTGTAGCCAAAGTGGTGTTTGTGTAACAGGGTTAGATTTACAATAAATGCACTTAATGGAGATAGAAAAGTGATTTTTCAGTGGGCCCAATGAGAACTATCTCCAATTAGCACCTCTTGGGTGGGATAGTTTTTTTGGTGGGTTTGGTGCAACTTGCTCCAATTTAACCCTCATGCTTGGATAATTTAGGGCTATTTGAGCCCCAACTAGCTCAAACTAACTCTAACCCATGGATCCAAACAAGGCCTATGGCCAGCCTCGACGCGGAGCAGTCGCGTGCACTGGGAAGCGGCGCTCTCTCGGTCGTCGTGCTGCTTCAAAGCCGGCGCCAGTGAGAGGTCTCCTCCGCTTTGGTTGGGCATTAATGCGGCACTGACGCTCTAGGGCGACGCTGACCGTTTCACGCGGGAAGCGCGCGCTGGCAAGGGAGTATTGGTTTTGAACCGTTTCAGGTGTAGTACTAGTAGTTTGCAAAACTACTCAATTGTTGCACTTAGGTTCCTAAGAAATTGTGGTAAAAATGTTACTCCATAGCCCGCTTCCCTTCTCCTTCCTCTTCCACCGCCCGCGCACGTCCGCGAGAAGCTACCGGTCAACCCTTATATAGGAGTGCTAGCACAAAAAGATGCATGCATGACCACTAAAATTTCTAGATTAAAGCCCCACTCCGGCGAGAGTATGGCGTATGTTGTTAAATTCAGTCGAGCCATGGCTACCGGGCGACGGTGACCAGAGAAGAGGCGGCGGGAGGGGAATGAATGCAGCTACTGTTTGGGTTCGCCATCCGGCTTAAATAAGTGCGCACCATCACGTGTACCTGCGGGTGGACAAATTGTAACATACGTGTCTGCTTAAGTGGGCGTCACGTAACTGGTGTGTGTGTGTGAGATTCTGAGAGACAGAGTGCGTGTGTGCGACTCTACTCTTCAGACATGTACTCGACCTTTTGCATCGGGATATAAGTATAATGGTATTATACTTTAGCTAGTGATTTACGTGGCCATGTTAACGTGGTTGTGTAAAAAATGTCACTTCCTGCTCGTGATTTGCGCTATATAATTACAAGCAAGATGCTCGTGCATTGCACAGAACATCAATATGCATTTGTTTACAAAACACCTGTTGTGATTGACCCATGCAGGAGTAATCCCATGTGTACAAACTAATGATATCTCGAGAATTTTATCGGAAAATTGGTATCTCGAGAATGTCATCGAAAAAATGAAAGATGAGAGATAAGGTGAGGAGGAGTGGAGCGTGGTGGTGACTGGTGGTCGGACTAGGCGGAGGCATGGGGATGGACGGCGCCGGCAGGCGACAGCGACCACCATGCTAGATTGTTCCAGAGACTTCCTTTTTTAATTGCTCATGAATGAGGTTGTGGGAGATAAGGATGTGGAGAGAGGTGCGGGTACCTTTTGTAAAATCATCATAGTTTGCTTTCTATCCGTCAGATATAGATCGGACGGTCTATATTACAAGATGGCAGGCACACCATCATCACCAACTCGGTTTTTTATAAGGGTAGAGATGATAAGTTTGCTAACTACTAAAGTAAAGTGGAATTTGTCCATGTTATACAAGTAAATTAAGGTGATTGTTTATCATACGGGTAAAGTTGGATGAAGGGTAGTAGGAACAAATGCTCCGCCTAGAGCATGTGTGTGTGAGATGGAGTCTTAGTGTGTGTGTGTGTGTGTGGGTGGGTGGGTGCACGGCG